CATTATGGATGGACCAAGAAAAGACAATATGAATATATGATGAATAGTGATGGTTATTGTTTTTAGTCGGAAACATAAAAATTGCATTTTTATCTATATTTTGCATAAATATGATAAGTAATATGGTATTTTTGTGTGTATAAAATACATATATACATATAAATTAACAAACATGAATGATAGAATTATCACATTTAATCATACGTGGTATATGATAACTAATGACTTAACTTCATTATGTTATAAATATAAATAATGATAAAATTTAGGTATATATACAAACTATATAGTTTTATCTTAATTTACAATTTCATTTCTTTATATCCATTGCTAAAGCTAAAATACGTATATCGCTTAGAAAATTAAAATTAAAAAGTGAAGTAATGTTTAGCGAATCTAGACGGCCTAGGCGGCCGATTAGGCGCTCTAGGCGGGCAACTAGGCACCATAGGCGGCTGACTAATTCACCTAGACGGCAAACCAATTAGTCGGGGAGCGCTTAGACGAAAATCGGGGCGCCCGACCACCGCCTAGCGCCTAGGCGGGGACTAGTCGGGCGCCTAGAACGATTTTTAGAACAGAGAGTATGAGTTTGACAATTTTAAAAATAAATAAATACGAAGTATATAATACTTTAATATAGATCAGAATAAAATATAGTTTGTTGGAAAAATGTGTGAAAAATTGCATTAAATGGCTATTTTGGGGCAATTTTTTGAGTGGGGTCCACTTCCGATTTGGGTCGGGTCAAAGTGGTTTCGGATTGTCCTTGTTAAGGGCTACAATTCGATATATGGTACGCTCAAAACGGATAACGGGTGAATGAGAAATCGCTTTTCGAAGTTTACCCGTTAGAATGGAAAAACTGGGAAAAAGGATGGGTTTCTAGTGTTAATTTCCCACACCGGAAAACCCAAGGGATTTGCTACCCTTTATAAAGGGACTCCCCCCTTATGGAGTTAAGATTCTTAAGGGTAAAGGCTCTCTCCACGCGCGCAGGGGGGGGGGGGGGTGCAAATCAAATCCCGAATTCGGAGAAGAAAAACCGCGACTTGCGTGCGCGGGCGACCTGCGGACACGAATGTCGTCCAAAAATCTATCTCTCAAGAGATACGATTAATGGCCGCGGATCAGAGAGTTGGGGTCTTCTGATTGGCCTCCGATCAGAACCCCTCCCGGGGTGTTCTGATGGAGGTCTTCTGTCGCACTTCTGAAACGTTACAACAATTAATGCCCAACGTTCTTATCTTTTAATGCAGCGTTAAATGGACAGTTCATGGACGATTCAATGCCCAACGGACTGGTCATTGATGTCCAACGTTCAGGTCCATTAATTCACCATTTTTTCCCATGTTTTCGATGTCCATCAATTTATTTTTAATATTATAGGTATAGGTTTAATTTCCAGCCCACCTCAAAACTAATGTCTAGCCTAGCCCAAGCCTACCAACTTTGTAATTCTATTTGATTATTAATTGAATTTTTTCAGTTGATAGTAAAATAGTTTTTATTTATTATTATAAATTTATAATGATTAAAGATAGAATTAAAGATTAGAAAATGATTTATTTATAATGCAATTAAAGAATAGAGAACGATGTATTTACTATTTAGGCATGTAAGAATGGATTCAAAATCTCAATTCAATTTTAAAATTGGGAATACTTATTAGTTTTATGTACATCGACTATTTTTACTCATTAGTTTTATACTTTTATAGAAGTATTTTAATTCATTATAAATACTAAAATCTTTAATAATCAATAATAAAATTATAAATCACGCTAAAAACGTTTTAATTTTAGATATGCTACCTCTGTCTCATTTTATTTAGCCATTTTTGACTCTTTACTCAAAGATGGTAAACTTTGATCCATCATTTTAACTCATGTATTAATGTGAAACTTACTAAATTTATACTTTTATGATAAACTTTTTAACAAAGAACATTTCCATTTCATTTTCATATTATCAATTTTATTGTATAAATATATAGTCATTCAGAGTTTAACTTCTTTGACTTGAAAAGTCAAATTAGTCTTAATAAAAGTCGGAGGTGGTATATAGTTTATTTCTATAATTTATAAGTTATGAATATGCTCGAGTCCAGATCGAACTGAACATGACTATGCTCGAATTCAGCTTGAATAACTATTCAAACTCAAAAAAATAACGGCCGTTTTTTTTTTGTAAAAACAAACTATTTAAACTAAAATTTAGCCTGTGTTCGAGATTGAAGCTCGTTAAACTTTGGTTATTAAATTAAATTCGAAATCACGATCGAACTCGAGCAGTTCGAAAAAAACTCAATTCAATAACTATCAGTCCTAAGCTAAACCTTTTGTATGCAATAACGAAATTTTTTACTGCTTAGCCCACCCCACCCCTCATTCCTGGATCCGCCCCTGCCGGCCACTCGTCATCGATCAGTACTCCGGCCAAGAACGGAGGAGGAACGAAATAAATAGTCAAAGCACCGCCGCCGGAGGCCAGAGGAGGAAATAAATAGTCAAAGCACCGCCGCCGGAGGCCAGAGGAGGAAATAAATAGTCAAAGCACCGCCGCCGGAGGCCAGAGGAGGAAATAATTAGTCAAAGCACCGCCGCCGGAGGCCGGAGGAGGAATTAACATTCAAGAAATTAAACCAATATACTTCGTATGAATGAACACATTATTACCTTCTTGAAGTGTGAGTGAACGTAGGAATAGGTGGGAGAGAGATCGGTCATGGTCTTCACGTCAATGCAGCGGCAGAAATAGGATCTCACGGCGGCCTTTGCTCTCCTGATCGCGGCGGAGGGCGGCATTGTGGTGGCCGGCTGCTCGCACACAGTAAAGCAGCTGGAGACGAGTTGATGAAAGTGAGATCGAAGTGAGACGTTAATTGTGATTTTTGCACCGAATTGTGAAATTAAAGAAGAGACTGGCGTAACTGAATTTTGGACTAAAGGCAACCCGCTCTATAACTAACTTTTAACCATTTCACGCGCGATATTCCGTATTATAAATGGGCTAACTGGCTAAGATCGTTACGCCGTACGCAACAAATAATACTTTCGTACGTACTTTTTTTTGAGGGGTAATTATACTCTAAGCCGGGTTGGTAATACCAAAACTAGTGAATTGACTGATTCTATTAAGATTTATTAAATTTTATTTGAAGTGGGTGAATTGATTGATTCTGCTGATGTATTAAAAATTTGTAGGAAAAATTGATATTAATAATCCCAACTATTGATGATCCGCCCATAATAATCCCAATTATCGATTATTTCAGAATAATCCCAACTTTAGGTACCTTCCGCCAATAATGGTCCCTATAAATAAATTCTCGTAGTTTCTAGAGTGGATGAGAAGAGATATAACAAGTAATCCCTATAAATAATCCCAACTTTTAATTTTACGCTTAATTTCTATTTAAAATTCACTTGTTATAGGAGGTAATATCTGGTCATGGACCATTATTGGCGGATGGTCCATATAATTGGGATTATACAAAAATAATTAATAGTTGGGATTATTATCAGTGGACCAGCAATAGTTGGGATTATTATTTTCAATTTTTCCAAATTTATATGAACAATATACTTTATTAATTAAATAACGAAAACATTACATGTAAATATAGCTAAAATGACCATCTACAGTAACTTGAACAAAAAAGGGCAGAAAAGGAACTTCAACATTACTTTTTCTTATTATTACGCAATTCAACGCGGGAAAATAAAAATCACGTGTTTGGTGAAAAGTTGGTTGATAAGCCTGATAAGCCGAAAAACAGGGCTACCAAACGCACTCTCTATTTCATAACCAAATTTATAAATAAATATTGAAAATAATAATTCTAATAATTTTCTGATGTTAAGAATGTTAATTATTGATTACTAGTGGATTGTACAACTATAGGGGTCATCTTTCAATAATAGTCTTTTGTGATCAGACGTCGATATGGGTGATTTGGTACAATATACCAAATATTTTCTCTTATATCTTTTTCATACCAAACTTTTGGGTAAACAAAATTTATATATTGTTACTTTACCAAAGTTTTGATTAGGTGATGGTACGGTATTGATAAAGCTCAAAACATTAGAAATGCTACGTATTCTTCATAATGTTAAATTGGGTCCTACAATTTATATACTACGGAGTACTAGTAATAGTCTTTAGCGGGGATGTTTTATGTATTATTATTATTATTAGAGCATCTTCAATGGTAAAATGTGCACGGTGCACACGTGGCACGAAAAATAGCCACATAAATATTAGTCAATAAATTCTTTCTCTCCTTATTTGAATGATTTTATACAGTTTTGGTAAGTTTTTCTCCACACTGTCAAGGAGACCGTCTAGATGTTAACATTGTTGTTGACATTGCAGGGAAAAACTTACCAAAATTGTATAAAATCATTCAAATAAGGAGAGAAATAATTTATTTGCTAATATTTATGTGGCTATCACTCATGTCACATGTGCACCGTGGACATTATAGCATTGGAGATGCTCTTACATGTATACCTACAGGAGTTTGAAGTTACTTAAAAAAAGCGCTTTTCAACTTTTGGCTTAAAAAAAGCTGAAAAGAGTGTTTTCAAATGACAGCTTATGCTTATATTAATCACTTAAAAGTTAAAAGTTGGAAGCAGGTGGAAGAGTGCTTTAAACTGCTTTTCACTTTTTCTATTACACAAAAAATACTTATTTTACCAAACACTACCAACTTTTACTTTTTCAGAATCACTTTTTTCTCAAACACTACTAACTTTTATTATTAAGTACTTTCTCCAAAATCACTTTAAAAAATCGTTTTTTTAAGTAGAAGCAATCGTAAACACTCCCTGCATTCCACCGACGTGATAATTTAGTAAAGTGAGTTTATGTGGTTGATATGAAATTAATAAAGTAAGAATAATACTCCCTCCGTCCCAAAATGGTTGGCCAAATTTCCTTTTTTGGCCGTCCCAAAAAGGTTGGCCATTTCCATTTAAAGTAAGGAATATGTGGCTAAAGTTAATTCTCTCTCCTCTGCACAAATTTTAACCACACAGTTTTTACTTTATTAATCCACGTGCAAGTCAACATTGGCCAACGATTTTGGGACGGAGGGAGTAAAAAATAAAAATAATTTAGAGTCACATCAATGACTAGAAATCTGGGGTAATGTATTCGATCTTCTTTGGCATCCCACATTCCCACTAATTTAACAATAAAATTCCTAGGAAGCTAATTGCGGATAACAGAAGCAGTACAGAGCCGAGCAGCCTCCTCTCTCCTTCAAGGATCATGCACCAGTTTATAAAGCTATGCTCTTACAAATCGGATTTGCAAAGAAGGCCATGCCTGGGTACTCTGCTCTCCCATCAGTGCCTGAAGACATGATTGGAAGTGGATGGACTAGATGTGATCCAAACATAAGTGATGTGGGATTGCCTCTATACTTTGTCTATCTAGCTAACTGCTTATCTTGTATTGTGGAGTTTGGTATCTATTGGATGCACAGAGAGTTGCATGACATAAAACCACTTTATCACTACCCACCATATTTTCAACACGCAAAAGACACTTTCTCCCTTCACTGGTTTGTCATTCCACCCATTGGATGGGATACTTCCTGGACAGCCAATATTCATGACTGCCTATCACACAATTCATCATACCACATATCGGCATACTTATGGCCACTACACGATATGGATGGATTGGATGTTTCGAACCCTTCACAAACGGAAAAATGATGAGCTCAAGAAGATGTGATATATTAGCAGTAGTTTAGCATCTCGTCTGTACTGGATAGAGGTGTAGCCAGCAGTATGTAGCTCTTATACAATGGGTGGTGAGGTATTGGGAGGTAATGATTTAGGCCTCATTTCCTTGCTTTTTGTGTTGGACCTACTGCTAGATACGAAGGGAGTCTATATTGGTAAGGTTGATGTATATTTCTTGTTAAAGTAGTTTCACTAAACCAGGCCTTGGAAACGGAAAAAATCCCAGTCTTTATCACAAGGAGTGAGTTTGTTTTATTTAAAGTGCTAATTTACAGCATGTCTTGAATGTAATAAGGAACAAGTTACCATCAAGGCATGCCTTTCCTACATAAAATCTCAGAACATTAGTGGAATATACCATTCTAGAGAAGAGCACTACGTCATGTTAAGTTACAAGTCTCCCTGTAAGTAATCTGGGGTGGGGGCATACCTAAGTAGCTAGCAATTTCGCCTCACTCAATTTGGCTATTTTGGCCATCATATTTGAAGCCGCGTTCTCTCTTGCTTCAGAAGGATTTGGACATACACTGCCTTTACACATATGGCACCCGTCTTGTACCATAACATTGGCAGCAAATCCATCTCTATAGCAGTTTCTTGCAATGGTTTTCCACACTGACAATGGCCTCAGACAAACTCTCTTCTTCAAGTGGTTGACTAGTTCTCTGTTGAACTTCTTCCTTTTCCAGATAAAGATTGTCAGTATCTTTTGTAAGTTCATTTAAGGAAGCATCAATATCCATTGTTTTATGTAAAATGTTCAGTTATTTGCCAAAACAACTTCTAAAACTATATATTTAGTATGATGAAGAAGATTAGATAACATGCAATACATAAGTGAAATGACTAGTACTACATCATATTCCGCAATATTTGGTTGGAATTATTAAGTTGGGAGTTGGTTAGTTACATGACTTACATCATTTAATATTCATGACTATTCATTATAGGCAATAAAACGGAAGAGCGTCGAGTTTCTCTAGTTCTGTATGACTATCAAACCATTGCTTTCGGCATATTAATTCATTGTTGTTTGTATAAGTCTGAAGTATAAAACGGGGGGAATCATAGATGCATACTATCTCCAATGTCGTATTTACTAAACCAGACGAGAAGTGGGAGAAATTATGAGAAAAGAATCATTGGCATCAAGGAGCAGCAGCAAAGTTTCATCTTAGATTTCAGCCATCATAAAGACAATGTAGTTTCACTAAACATATCACCAATAATATATCACTGCAAACATTATTCTTTTTGAAAGAAGTATGATTGAAGCTAGGCAAACACCTTGATAGATGTAATCTATTTTATGTTTCTTAAGAACAAAAGAAAAGCTAGAAAACGCCCTAGACTTAGGTTCTCTGAATAGCTTTTCTTGACGAAAATTAAAGGCTTTAAATTCCTGGAAATAACTATTGAGTCGTGTAATAAAGACACGAAAACGCACGAACCATTCCATGGGAATTGCAATGTTGTGAGAAAGGTTACTGCCAGTTTGTAAAGTTCCCAAAGTGCCGAAAGAATGTTTTGCAGTACTAACTGCATATATATAATTAGAGGCTTTGAATCGGTTGTGTATTTGTCCAACAAGAGATGCAGGTCAAAACCTGACCTTTCCAACCCTGCAAGATCCAGTGGCCGTCTTCCATATAAAGAAAGTCTTTGTGGTATTCTACCCTCGCCTTCCTTATGTACTTCTTAGTCTTCTTCATAACTTTAGAGTTAATGGTTACAGGGCTGAAGCCAGTCCTCATAATGCGGGAGTGCCACTGCCTATGTGTTTCAGGCCTCAAAAGCCTTTCCATGCCCTCACATGCAATGATATTCATTATATCGCGTCCCATAATTTCTTTTTCCATAATCGACCTCTCATGACCATGGCTTGGTAGAGTAGCTTCATACATATCAAATGCAGTAGAGTAGTACGAGAGAGCCTCCCGGAACCGAGTGGGAAAGAAAGGAGAGCTGAGAGCTCCACTACGCTGAGAATGCACATATATATGAGGATTTATTTTCCGGATTAAGTTTAAAAGTGCATCCTTAGGGTTGTCCCTAACAACAGCTGTTTCATCCAATAGGTCATCAAATCGGCCAGAGCAATTAACAGCAACCACCTCATCATTCACAAGCTTGAAGTCATCAGTTTTAAGTGTCTCCCAATTCTTTGCTGTTATGGAATTGTACTCAAACAGTAAACCAAAACGCTCACAATATTTTGCCAAGCGAAAACCTGTCTCTTCTACCATTTGTGATGGACGAAAACCAGGTTGGGGAAGCTCAACCCCTGTAATTCGAAGTTTTGGAGGGCCACCAGGTCTTTGTGAAAGATCACGAATAAGAGTGGGCCACTGGACACCATAAAGAATACCAAAATCTATAATGTGCAGTGATGCACATTTTGATGCTACTTCATAAATCATGTTATTCGCAAAGAAAAGTGAAACTCTCATAAATGGCAAAGATGACAAGTAGAATTTTTGAAACTCGGCGACTGTGGTGTTATTAGGAGAAAAAGTTGCATTCAGATGCGTGCCAGTTCCGGCCAAACGTGCCTCAAGACTGTCAGCAAATAAGTTCGCCAGCCTCTGGTTTGCATAGCCATTAGGCGAAGAGTGTTTCCTGATCTTCTTTAGTTCAGCTTCTGCAGCCCTATAATTATCAGACGAAATCGATTCTGCACAACTGATTAAAAGAGACTCCAGATCCACAATTTCACAACTATCTCCTCTTTTATTTGACTGACTCTTGCGGCCACCTCGCCCTTTGTGTTGTGTGAAGCCAACTCTAGATGAAGAGTCATTATCATCACCACACAGTAAAACTTTATCGAAAACCTCTGATAACTCAACCTCCTCATGCACTGCCGAGTGCTTGCTTTTTCTTTCTTCCTCCAACCCACTTTCATCTGTATGGTGATGCTTCTTTCCTCTGCACGAATCAGCTGATCGGTCCTCTATATTGATAATGGCACCTCTAGCCTCTGGAGGCAATGGGCATTTACCAGCTTCCCTCACATCTCTCGGTAATTTCAAGATGGAGTCAGGGTGTTCATCACAAAACATATTGGGAACCGAATCAAGACTATCAAGGCTACAAAAAGAAGCTTTTAGCTCATCAAACCTGCTAGTCTGGCTTAGTGAAGACCAGGTGGCGAGTTCAGGAGGATCACATGCAACAGATGATTTAGATACAACTGATTTAGATTCAATGTGATCAACATCATCACTGGACCTCTCAAATGTGATATCTGAGCTTCCAGAATTAGTGTGAAGAGGTGAGGAAGTATTACCAGTCAAGGCTTCATAAAAAGAATTCTCAGCAGCACTAAGAGTAATGGGATCAAAGAACATGTTCTCATTGCTGTCCCAATCAATGTTATCCTCCTCCAGTAGAATCTGGCTGATGTAGTCCAGCTCAGGATCAGAGTCCAAAGCAGGGGCATTAGTACCAAGGTCAGGTTGAAGGGTGGAAAAAATGATCCCATTCTCCAACTCCAATCTGTTTATAGTGCAGTCAGGCAGCCTTCTGAATCTATCATCCATAACCTTCTGTGATAAGAAACCTAGTTATACACACATTTGGAAGATGGGTGAAGAGGCAAATAAATAAATAAAAATGGAGTAATGAACTTAGTGAGGAGGTAAAAGTGTAAAACTCGGTAGTGGCAAATCTGGGGTGATCTTAGCTTGGCCACCAAATGAATTGTCTGTTGCAGTTTGTTGGCATGGAAACGTGGTCTCTCTGTCTGAGCTTTAATAATTGACTGTACGTACCTCCATAGGCTCCATTTCCATTTTTGGGTACGAAGTATATCATTCGTTAGAATTTAGATGTGAAACCTATGTACCACCGATACAAAGACGCGGAAACACGGAAACGGATAGGGCGATACGACAAAACAAAAAAAAGTAGGATACATAATACGGGATTATATGTATAAATATTAAAAAAATTATGGATGTGTATTTAAATACGGAATTCGGAAACACATCTTCCGAATAGATTAGGGTTTAGGCGCAACTCACCCCATTCGGAAACCCATGTTCCGAAACAATTTTTTTTTTCCAAATCAATTTTTTTCACTTTTTGTTATCCCATTCGGATGATGGAGTTCCAAATGGTAATTTCTATTTTTATTTTATTGATACAACTTAAATTGATATAAAGCTATTTTTAATTAATGAATAAACTGGACCCCCTTTCGAAAAATATAACAGTATAAATTAGACACCTTGGTATTTTAATAAACCGGATATGGTACATATGATCGGACTCGTTCAGGACTGAAAACCCGTTTAAAATTTCTTATTAGTATACAAACACACACTAATACATAAATTGATTAGTTATAATAGTTCAAATAAAAAGATACACACTAATACATTATACGGTACATACCTACTGTATATTACCTCCGTCCCATAAAACTTTGCCAAGTTTGACCGGCACGGAGAATAATAAAGTAAAAACTGTTTGGTTGAGGTTTGTGTAGAAGAGAGAGAAATAACAAGAACCACAAAATATTGATTAAAAGGGAAAGTGGCAAAGTTTTTTGGGACGTCCCAAAAAGGAAAGATGACAAAGTTTTAAGGGACAGAGGGAGTAAGTGATACTAATGCACGACTTTTCAAAACACCGTTATTCTGAACACGTTATGCATCAGTCGACGTATAGTACTCGTTAGGAGTAGAATATGGCGGTGGCTCATATTCTTCATCCATATCACCCTCTTCCTCATCTTCTTCATATTCATCTTCATCTCCCGCATCATCTCTGTCAGCAGCTGCCACTCTATGCGTCGCAACGTAACCGCGACGATCTTGCCTAGGAGGAGGTATGGGACCGGGCTCATTGTCTGCATCTGGGTAATGGAAGATGCCTTGGTGGAGCACATCTTCTACATCTAATGCTATAACACACTGTGCTAGCCGATCTTTAATATCCTCATGATCGGCCAAATTATCAGCAAGCTGATAGGTATCATGAATGCACTGCAACTGCAATAAAAATCAATTAGTGTAAATATTATAAAGGAAAACTTATTAATGAGTATCGTATGTAATTAGAAACTTACCGTAACACCCAACTCACGTATTGCAGGGGTGTAGCCCGTCGTGGGTGTAGCATGCGAAGGGTTCACGACACGTTTCCAACCGGCCCGTGCGTACCACGTACGATACCCATCAGCCACATTCCGCCCATCAAAAGGGGGCCATGTAGGTTCGTATAAATGCCTATCTCGTTCCGCCCACAATGCTAACAAAGCTGCACTAGCGCGGGAGCTAATGGTGTGATGGTCTGTACGTTGGAAAATGGGTATCGAATGTTGCTTTTATGAGTGCGGTGATTGGCAACGTACGGCATCCCTTCAACACATGATTAAAACTTTCCGAAAGGTTTGTCATTAGTATGCCGTATCTCCGTCCATCATCACAGCTAAGTGCCCACCTTTCCACATCAATTTCATTCAAATATGCAAAGGCACTCGCGTTGATGCCTCTTATTTGCTGCATGTAGTCGTGGAATTCGTTGTGGATAGGAGTGCTACCGGCTTGCCATCACAACTTTTTCAATTCCGTGTTCCTGAATTTCGTCATGAAATTGCTCCGAATGTGACGGAGGCAATAACGCTTCGACACTTGAGACGATAGCAATTCAGGAACATTTCGAAATGCACTTTCAATTCCTGCATGACGGTCAGAGATTATACAAACTGGACGATCACGTCCGACCACACCTTCCATTACGCTTTGCAAAAACCAGGACCAACTATTGGCATTCTCACCCTCCACAACACCATACGCGAGAGGAAATATCTCACGATTAGCGTTCATGGCAACCGCAACTAGGAGAACACCCTTGAATTTGCCGTACAAGTGTGTTCCGTCAATAGAGACTACGGGCAAACAGTGACAGAAACCATCAATAGAAGCTTTGAATGACCAGAACGCTCGACAGAATTCATACGTCTCATTAGTTTCGGTCGGTTGTGATTGAATTTGAACAAGACTCCCCGGATTGGCATATCTTATTGCTTGAAACAATTTAGGGACTTGATTATACGATGCCTCCCAATTACCGAATTTGCGCTCTAAAGCGATCAAGCGGCCATACAAAGCCTTTTTGTATGAAACATGGATCTTGAATTTCTCATAAATGTCTAGAATTATGAGTTTTATTATATTTTATAGTCCGGATCCGTCGACACTTTAGGACCTATCTCACTTGCTATGAGCTTGCTTGTTAAGATCAGATCCTGTCATCCTCGACTAGGGAGTAATCAGGTATACATGTGTGGACGGGTTGATATTTTTTCACCTTCCACACATGTGTGTTCCGGTCTGCTCCTGCTTGGATGTGCCACGAGCATATGTTCGCCGGGTAGATGCACACAGCCTTCCACGACCTGGAACGTTTGTCATCTGACCGGAAAAATGAGTGTTGACGGATGTTTGCTCGGGCCACAGCTTCTTTTAATTCATCATAGGATTTGAATGTGTCTCCGACTGCAATCATTTCTGAATTACGATTTACAGCCTCGACATACGGTTCGTCTATCTCCAGAGTGGCCCATGTCGTATCTACTGCCTCGTCGGTATCACCGCTAGAGGATGACTCAACATCACTACTATGTTGTTCAAAGTCGGGATCGTCCGAGTCCTCAGACAAGATTGTGACCGTAGAAAATAAATATACATTATGTATACCAATTTCAATAATTCGTAATCATACATAAAAAAGATATTTACATTTAAAATATTAAATTAACTAAATTTGAAGTTAACTAATGAGTTTTTTACAAGAATATTACTAAAACAAAACTTATTTACATAAATATGACTATTCATTACTACAACGTAGTATTGTAGTAACTTAAGTTCAAAACTTGAACATGAATTACTATGATTTCATTACTACTCTAGTAATGAGTCATATTTTTATAAACCATCTTTATTTTGATCATATTTATGTAATTATTTCTTAACTAATTCGTAACTAAAAAATACTAAAAGTTAACTAATTCGTAAACATTTTTTTCACTTTGTTCATTTCTCTATTTTGATACTAATTTATTAAAACAATAGTACTAATAAATGTATGAATATATTAAATCACTAAATTTGAAATTTTATTAAACATCTAAAATGCATACCGGGAGACCGGAAGGCCTGAAAAGTGGATGTGTTTCTCCTTCGGCCAGATGTTGATGATGGACCCTGCCCGATATCACCAAACGTAGCAGTAGTATTTGCAAGACCTTCGTCGAAGATCAAATTTTGTGGTGGGGCTATAGAGTTGTTTATAACATCCACGAAAATTTGCAATTCCTCGTACTCCTGGAAAGCGACTCGGGAAAAATTAATCCATGACCGGTCATCGTGGATGGGCCACGCTCTAGAAGCAACGTAGACCGAATTCTTAAATTTTGGCATTTTTCCATAAATAGATTGTATTTCAGAAAACCCCGCTTCTCTTATGTGTTTTAGAACACCTTCATATAGAGTGTTAAAAACATCTCCTTTGGTGATGAACAATACTACCTTAGGAGGTATGGAATACTCTATTGCATTATCTTTTGTGATCATAGAGTCATTCCAATGAACAAGAACTGCAGTATCCGCACTAGCCATTTGTAAATAGTATAGATTAAGAAATATAAACTATGAAGTGAGAAAAAACAATTCTTTGTTGTGGTGAAGAAATAAGAACGAAGTAAGGGTTTTAATATGGGAATGGAGTGTAAAGGTAGGTAGAGAATGTGGAGGAGATGAGTACACGTATCCTTTTTATATTTGGAAATTAGTAATCCCAGAATGCTTCAACATATTTTTTGTTTTTCCATTTGAAAATGAGGTATCCGAATGAGTGTGGATTTTTTGTGTCATAGCTCAATAATAGGTATGTAGAAAATGTGGATGAATTGCAAACACGTAGCTTCATTCTTTTTTGGAAACTTATGGTTGGGATCATGGAGCATTGGAGCTCAATAATACATTCGGATTTTGGAGGCTTTTACTCATTCGGATATCCAATCTTCTCTCATTCGGAATTGGAACTTCCGAATCAAAGTGTGAGGCAAACCTATTTCATTCGGAATTGTGTATTCCAATCCCGTCTTTTACCGTAGGAGGAACTCCCGTCTTTTTGCATGGCTTGTTCAAAACCCCCATTCATGCCATTAAAGAATTTTACATTTTCAAGATACATGGAAATAAATTCATTGTTTATCTCATATACACAACTACACAAGTGCTTCTCGAAATATAAATATAGTTAATAAGTCATTAATTTAAAATGAGAAATAAGTCAAACAACTACAATTTTGAAATTAAAAGTGCAAGTACTCGAAGTTCTAAAATACTGAAGATAGAAAACAATATTGTAAAAGTTCTCATACATATTTCCGTTGGAGCTATTAATTTCCAGGGATAATTAAAATTATGAATAGGTGGATGGGTGAATTAGGAATAGTCCCATGAGTTGTCTACCACATAAAAGCAAGGTAAAAATTATGTTTAGCTTTTCATTTTTTAAGAATTTTATTATGTAAGTTTTGAGTGTTTTTTTGAAAAAGTTTTTTTTGGAAGAATTTTTTTAAAAAAAGTTGATGCGTGTATCCGTCAAGATACGAGTATCCGGAATTTTAAAATAATTAAAAAAAATGGAAACTTTTAAAAATTGCAAATATAACCCGGAAATGTACGGTACGAGTATCCTAAAGTATCAGATACGAGAACGTTACGGATACGCCGATACAATACCCTAGTAAAGTATCCGTGCTTCATAGTCTAAACGATTCCACCCCTATTAATCTACTGTCATCAATACTGGACCTAGGAGTAATGGTGTCAAGCTATAACAGAGAGAAGAAGCCACTGGAGACGTTCAGACGTTCATGAGCCCTCTGAGATAATCTCACCTGCTTCTGAGTTCTGACCAAAGTAAACTATTGAGACATTTTTGAGTCGGGCCTTCTTCGCACACCTTCGAAGTTACTGGGCAGTGGGCGCGCCTCCTTTTTTCCCACTTTTGGACAGATTTGTCCTCTTGCCGCAAGAAACTTAGCCAGCGCACTAAAAACTTTCTTTTTTTCGTTGGCGCATATATGCTCCTCAAAGTTTTTCTTTTTCCATTTTGTTAAATTATATGGGCATGGAATCAATTTTACTAAAATAAATTCTTTTTGTATTAGTTCACTTAATTTTTTGTACTCCGTATAATATAGTTGACTTATTTGAAAAGTTAATAATCCTATCTATTACTATCTCTAGTTTTTTTAAATAACTGTAACATGTTGGATTTTAAATTATTCCAATATTCTACGTTGACTATATTTTATTTATTCATGTATTAGAAATTAAATTTTTGAGAAATAATAATGTTAAATTCTTCTTATATAAATATTAAAAATTGATTTTTAAATTTGTTACCAATAGGGAATGAAATATATTATTGATCAATGTTATGTGTTCACAACCGTGAAAATGAAAACGTTCCAACAAAAGAACGGAGGAGATATTAAACAAGTACTTCTCTTTCCCGCAAAAATGATCCCATCTTTTCTTTTGATCTGTTTCACTAATATCTCATGCCAAATTTGATAATATTTGTGTGGTTCAAAATCAATCTTATTTTATTTTCACTTTATAAATTCGATATTAACTACTCCCTCCATCTCGTTAAGATTGTCTCATTTTACCTTTTCGATCCGTACCACTTAGATTGTCTCATACCAAATTTGGTAAAATTTGTGTGGCTCTAAATCAGTTTTACTTTATTCTTACTTTATCAATTTAATATGAATAAAACATAAACCACTTTTTATTAGTTTGCGTGTCACTCCCTCTTGTCTCATTGTTAGTGGGACAAATGGAATATAAAAAAGAAACTCATTTTTCTTGGTAATCGCATCACCCTTTTGTACTTACAATTTTAAAGGGGATGAAGGTATATTAAATATTGAAAAAACACAACGATAAGATTAGAGTTAAAAATTCTACTTAAAAAATAGATCAAATCAAATCATATAAGAATTAAACAATAGTAAAATTTCACATCCACCAATCGTGTACTAGATAAAAAATTTCTGAAAATAATACTAGTATGTATAATATTAACATCATATGAAAGATTAATAAAAATGGTTTAATTTTGTTATATTTTTGTAAGCATCTAACTATAAATAAAAAAGTTATGAAATTTTATAATAAAAGGATTATTAGTCACATGGCTCCAAAATATTGGGGTGTAGGATCAATTTTGAAATTGATTAAAACTTCAAATGGACGTATGGACGTATTTTGTGTGAAAAGGGTACAATAGTCTGGTAAGAGTTACATTAAGCACTTATTTGGGTGCGCGAAGTAACACCCTTTTTTAGTAGATATGGCAATAGCGAAGTAACACCATTTTGCTTTGGCAAGGAGAGTGTCGGACCAATTTCAACCCTCCGATCAAAAAATTAAGGTTAGAAGATGAAGGGGGCCATTTTGTTCACACATCTCAAGGCCCCATATTAAATCACAACCCTCCATTGATGTAAGGCACTTTGCCTTAAGGCAAAGAATCCTAGTCCATAGCGTGTCTGGTCATATGTATATCCGAACTCGCCCCGTTAGGTAATTCCGCACAGGATGGATAGATTCAGGATTTGAGTTGAGGGAGTGAAATTTTTTTCGCAAGTGTTGGGGGCGTATTTTTTTCTTTAGTGTAAGACTATGCGGCTATTTTTATTTTAAAAAAAACATGAAAACATACACGGAGAACATACAATGGAAAAATAACTTTGATTATATAATTGAAGTGCTTTAGAAAAATGTATTGATACATAAAAGCGTAGGAAATGACAAATCAAAGAAAAAAAAAATTGAAAAGAAAAAAGATGCAACCCATCAATACTTTTTAGATAACTTCTGTCTTGTTTAACAGTTTAACCACATGATTTTTATCGAAATAAATAATTGGTTTTTGAATTGCAATTTTTGTCTAACGGTGAGTATATATGTTCTTGAGTCACAAGAAATTTTCTAAATATCTCAATAGTATGTATGAAATTATTATTTTTAGAATAATATTATATTGCTAATTCATATAGATGGTTCAAATAAGTTAAAGTTTATTACTACTTCTGCTATTTTTATACTATAATTAAAATTGATAATTAAAATTTCTTATTTCTGCTATTACTTTGAGTCGTTGCTTGCTCCCGGCCAGGTTTTGAACTCTTAAATCCCTTCAAGTAATGTTCGATAATAAATCAATATGTTTTGGTCTCACAATTTTACTACTATTGGATCATTAAAGAAAAATGAACTTTTTTCCCTTCTTGTTTATCACTATTTGGGCTTCTGATTAAGACAAACTAGCTTCAAAATGAGTTCATAAACTTTAATGCACTGAAATAGGGCCATGGGGGGGGGGGGGGGGGGGGGGATTCCCCATAAAACAACTTCAGGTGCGGTAAGTTCTTTAGATCCATCCTCTATAAAGAAGCTCCTATTATTATTGTTGTTGTTGTTGTTGTTGTTGTTGTTATTATTATTATTATTATTTCATCTTTAGTGTTTGTAGGGAAAATATTCCAATAAATCTATGATTAGGTTTTTAATTACATACACATTCTGATATGTATTTTGACATCTCCTAAGCAGTTTCTTGGCCTTGAATTTGGTGAATGTATTCTGCACAACATTCAAGTCTTAAATTAGTGGAGTAATGCATAGTTTTAACTGTCAACTATTGTTTACTGCAAATATTCAGCAATATCTTCAATGTTCCTTATCCTAGTTTTGGTCTTTTAATAGAAAAAGTTGCTCCTGAAATACATATTTACTTTTTCTAGGCTTGCAAATTGAAACCGGGAGAAATAAGGGGAGCACTCTTACATGCTGACTGTGCAATGCGTGAAGGAGAGAACAATGTTAAAGCTCTGTTTCGCCAGGGTCAGGTTGGTTATTCAGTCTAGCAGGATCTGAATGCTTAGTATCATCACATTGCGTCTGGAATTATAAGTAAATTTCTTGTTTCTTTTATGGGGATTATTTTCTGGAGTGCTTATTCTGCTTACTAGAGGATTTGGGTGACTTCTAAATTTGAAGGATGTAAATTTAAACTGACTTATAAATATACGAGTTATATTGATAATTGAATCTGAATGCTCTAAACTTTTTAAATTATGTTTTTAGTGATGTGTGGATCATGTTCCAGGCACTTTTAGTTATAAAGGAGGAAAATTTTGTATAGAGATTACCTCCCTTGGAACGAGTATGAACTTCATCGTGGTATGTACATTGTATACTATTTTTTCGAGTAGCTTTTCTACAGCTGAATTCTGTGTTATCTTCCTTTAAACTCTCTCCAGCCATATGTGGATACTAGAATGAATTGAATGAGGTAACGTCATGATAATAATGCATTGAGCCTTGAATGTGCTTCCTTTTTAATATAAAAAATGGATTTTATTAATGAATCAAATCGGGTATATTCTTCAAGTCTGACAGGATAGCACTTAGCAACCATGAAGGAAAGTGGCTTAATGAAAGAAAAATCGCATCATCAGTTATTATGCGGTCAATGTTGTTATTATTGTTAGTTATTGTTATTTTTTTTATCATAAATTCATAATTACAAATCTTAATCATGGCTCATTTCAGATTAAAGTTGAAGCATATACTCGACAAGGAAAAAATAAGCTAG